TAATACGTCTTGAGTCCCACGTGCAGTGAAATTCCACACAGACACACAGCGAATCCCAGCCAATTAATCAGACTCATTTTGTCTCCCAACAAAGATGTTGACAAAAGCAGAATGAACACCTCCTACATGAGGACAAGACAATAAAAGGAGCGAGAGAAAGGGTGTATTAGATATGTCTGAACAAGACCAGAGCCGTGCCGCCCCGCAAGTCTTTACAAAGCTACAACGCTCGTTACACAGCAGAAAACTAAAGCTACTGGACAGATGAAAAAAAGACAACTTCAATGTGCTCAGATCCTTAGTAACAGCAGAGCTACTGTCCTATCAATGCATCTCCATTTAGTTTAGGGCTGACCCAGAAACAGAGTGTTTCAAAATTTTTAGAGGTAAAATAGTAAAGTTTAAAAATGGCTGTATTGGCTTTAACCTCAAATATTAAACTCAGTGCCGGTTCTCTACATTTGTTGGTTTCATCGGACAACGAATACTGACAGTACACAAAATTTAACAAGTACCTTAATGATCCCTGATATGGACAAAGTAAGGCTGGAGGTTCGGGAGACGAGCAGGAACTCTGAGAAGCTTCCCACCTGCTTTAAGACCACAACCATCGTCCCCCTTCCCAAGAAGAGCCCGGTCACCTGCCTGAACAACTACAGGCCAGTGGCACTCACCCCAATCATTATGAAGTGTTTTGAGAGAGTGGTGCTGGCCCACATTCAGAGCAGTATACCGGACACCCTGGATCCTCTGCAGTATGCCTACCGACCCAATAGCACCACCTCAGATGTTGGCTTTAACCTCAAATATTAAACTCAGTGCCGGTTCTCTACATTTGTTGGTTTCATCGGACAACGAATACTGACAGTACACAAAATTTAACAAGTACCTTAATGATCCCTGATATGGACAAAGTAAGGCTGGAGGTTCGGGAGACGAGCAGGAACTCTGAGAAGCCTAAACCAAAGGCCAACAAACCGCCGATACTCAGTGTGATAAGTGAATACAGGAGAGGCAGGAGCTCTGTCACCCTGAAGAACCTTTCTGTCATACTGAGGCTCAGCCCTGAAGACAGACAAAGAGAATCAGGCCAGACATGTAGTAGAGGCAACACTTACAAGACACTAAAAACATCTGAGTAAGGTAATTGGGCAATAATGATAAGCAGTCATAATGATTTTTACATGGATTGCTAATAGGACTGGTCTACATGTATTTCAACTCTAATTACTTATACAGTTTTTCTTAGAGAAAGCCAGAGCATGTGGTACATGACACCGCTTGAACCTGCAGTGGTTTACTTGTACTTGTGAGTAACAAAGCAATGGAAAAGACAGATGGGCATCTTACCGGTGCTAGATCTTTACCATGTAATGTAAAGCAGCTGGACTGCAGTGCGTGTATCACAAAATGCAAAGGATTTCTGATAATTAAGGTGACTTGTTTTAGATATGTGACCATAATGAGACTCCCCTTCACATCTTGTCCTCATTCTGGCTAGCACACTAGCACAGTCAGGGAGGGAGCGGTGTTTACACAGGCTCCACCCCACTCAGCCAAAAGTGACATTATGAACATAATGACTGGATTATTGGAGTGCAAAAAATATAGTTAATGAGAAAATACTGTATCTTACACTAGCTGCCCAACATCAAAAGCAAAAGTGATTATTCTACCTCTTCTGCCATAACCTCACTTAGCTAAAACACCAGAGTAGAAACAGTAAAGAAAGATGCAAACACTTTATTCTTTTTCATCTCTATCACAGAAACTAAACATGACTTTAAACCAGGTTAGTGCGACAGCAACACAGCAGAGGTTTACACTAAATATCATGCCATTTTTGTATTCTTTCTAAATGTGCAACAATTTAATCAGAATTACTACTGCTAAATTGGTTCAACAGTGAGTAACTAAAATTAAATCATTTTTAATTTATAATATTTAAGAGGAAAGACTGATCTTAATTTATTGGAGCTAAATGTATCCGACAAGTCACCACACTACCACAGTTTTTTTGCATCACTGTAATACCCCTTTAGCTCGCAAATGTGTTTTTTCCACTGTAATGGTGTATATTTGATCCTCATTAGTTGTTCTTAATGTGAAAATTAAATAACGGAGGTGTGGGTACTGATGCAGATCACACGTCATCAGATATATGATGAAAAGACAACAGGTCTCCACAGACAGGTCTACAACACCTTTCAATAAATAAACTGAACTGTCATAATTAGAGCTACAGAGTTTAGTGTAGTGACAAGAGATGAGTGACAACACAGTGAGGATGACAAAATTATCACATAAGAATTTATCTCACCTTCATTATACAGGAAGAGGGGGAAGAGGTCAAGGAACATGAGAGGTTGCAGGTGGTACATGGTGTCTACTGGGTTCTGAAGGCCTGGTGGACAGGACAACATGAAAAACAGTTTGAAAAATAAGCTGGGTCATATGCTTGCATGAGTATCAAAACTTTTTTTAAATCAACTTCTCAGAGTTGAGGCAAAACCTGAATAATAATTTAGGTTTAGATAAATTATTTAGATGTAGTGGATTGTTGTGTCTGATTCTCCTCTTAGCTGTGTGTTGAATATACTGACCCAGCTCTGCTTTCTGCATGAGGACCTGAGTGAGGGTCCAGCGGATCCCGCCTAAGAAGGACGCCAGCAGCACCATGATGAAGCCCTTCAGGTTGAACTGGGTCGACTCGAATGTAAACATAAAAAGACCACCGGCGATCAGCAGGACCACCAGGATCAGGAACGGGTTCTGGTCAAACAGGACAGAAGAGAGGTGGTGAGAAATAGAAATGTTGAACAAGAGATTTGAAAAAATATGAAAGGACATAAACGGTGGTACAGAAGAGAAAAATAAAGATTTTTTTAAATGGATAAAAAAAGAGAGAATTTCACTGATAGAAATAAAGATGGATCGACACTGATGTATGCATCATTAGCTCCATACAGTTTATGACCTATTCTTACATACCAACAGTTACATAATTCACCAAGGAGTGAACTGAGTCTTTTATGCCACAGTAAACATTAATCCAGTTTAGGCATTGTGTGGTCAGCACATAATATGCATAAATGTTTGAGGTTGAAAAACTGTCACTCACCGGCTCCTCTAGTTTAAAGACCAGAGAGAAAAAGAGAATAAAGAGCACTGCTGTAGACTTGGTCATGGTGTACCTTGAATGACACAAAATAAGAGCCATACAATAAGATGGCATGATCCAAAGACCGGGTACATTTGACACTGATAATCTGAAGTTTGTCAGTTCATACTTAATAAAGCACTTGTATTTGAAAACAAAAGCTTACAAGCTAACGGTGATGAAGAGGAAGCTCCAGTTGGAAAGTCCAATATCCAGTGCTGTTGCCAAGGCTGGGTGAGACAAGCAGAATTTATGATATTTAGAAAAGACATTTGAATAAATGATGGTTTTCTACGAGTGAGCTGCAACTATGCCTTGTGAATAATAAAGTAGTATAACAAAGGTGAAAAGAGATGCTTTGGATTAATGAACATTTAACTAAATAACAGTGAAAACTACTAAATTTAGGCTTTACATGGGAGATTTTGGTGGTATACTGACTAGTGTCCATCATTAATTTAGAGAAAGTAGAGAAAATGGGTAATCCAGTCCAACATAATAAAGATAATCTGCTTATTTGTGACTGATACATTTGTTAGATTATTCAACATGACCCTCACGTGTGATGCAATGTCCATATCTTCATGGACTTTAGTCAAAATACTCTTCGCTGAGAGGTTAGAACAAGATAAGAGCTGACTGTCAGTCACTTTCTAATGCCCTGTTCTCTGAAAACACTGTTGACTCTCACCTGTGGGAGCTACTTTATTGAAGTAATCTGTCCAGCTCAGAATGACACGGGCTTTCCCCGTCCAGCGCTGCATGGCCTTTCTCGTTAGAGCCGACAGGCAGAAGTTGATGGCAAGATGAACTAATGTCATGAAGAGAGGATAATGGAAGCCCTGAGAGAGAAACAGAAAGGGCCATTTACAGTAAGCTGGCCTAGCGGTGGTACGCTGTCTGCAGAGTTAACCAAATGAAATGTAAGACCTTTTTAATACAACATGGAGTGCATTTCATCATCTCCTTCAGAGCCACACTGCTCAAAGACTGGCGCAAAATCACTAGGGACAATTAGGCCTACAATTATTTATTAAGTACATTCATTTGTTGACATTTTTGGGCCTTTTTGTCTTTATTTTTCAGCTGTATACAACAATAATTCTGAGTAATATAATTCATATAACAACAGGACCTGGACCTAGATACTGGAAGTGATGAAAAAATGAATACATAAATGGGTAGAATAACCAATTAAAATAGGTTGTGAGTAAAAATAAGCTATGTGGCTACTAGCAGCAATAACAACATTAAAACTACAGTATGTAAAACTTAAGGTAACACTAGGCTGAAACTCCAAATCAACCCACTCTGCTTCACCCAGCGCTTCCTCTCCTGCTCCACTATGAGCTGCTACGCTCCACCACGCTCTGCCCAGCTTCAGATATTTGTCATTATGAAATTACAATGAGAATGCAACAAAACTTAGTGATCATGCAAAATAATTGAAAACCTCTGACTGGTTAGAGAGATCAGTCCCACTCAAAACCTTTAGAAGCTAACGTCTCTGCACTGCTGCCGGTGCTGTTCAGTGAGTCTGGGTCACGGGAGGCTTCGACAGCACCTCTCCACATTAAAACTAGCTTTGGAACAGATTTCTAGAAAAAAAATACTTGAAAAAAGTTACATACTGTAACTTTAACAATGACAATAATAAAGCTGTAAAAAACTATCAATAACAAAAAGCTTTCTGGATGCACAGCCCACTGTTGAACTAGACTCTTGAAAATATTCAAAACTCTTAGAAATGAAATTAACTATATCTAATATCTTGTAAGGCCTCTGCTTTGTTTAGAGTACTGAGTTCAAATATTCTTAAAACTTTGAGACCTGCAGAGACCCTGTGTCAGGGTCCCAAACCCTGAGACACTACTTACGCTATTTGGTTTAACCTGGGTCCTATGTAAAGGAACAGTGGTGATGGAGGGGAAACCATTAGTGCTTCAGGATCTCATCCACTTACCTTCATCATCCATTTGTTGTAGAAGGTGATGCCTATAGAGAAGACATAGTAGAGGATAATTAATGCAACAGTGCGAAGCCCCCGGCAGAGGAACTGGACAGGACACGCCATCCAGGGCTTCCAGCACCAGCTGTTCAGAAAAGACAGCTACAGAGAGGAGACCTCCAAAGTGAACCTGCAGCCCTTCCTCTCACCCATAGCTGACTGCTTTAAGAGGAGACACTGCGAGTAGAAGAGGAAAAAAGAAACAAGGTTAGACTTTGGCTGCATGCGTGTAATGCTACAGATGTTAAGAGCCGAGCAAAACAGCTGAGGTGTAAAAAAGGCTGCAGAGAAGTTACCTTAAGGGCAACATTAGGTTTAACTCAAGTCTGTCCACCACCATAGCCTAGCTAAGTCACATCAGGTAACAGTTAAACCAGTATTAACCCAGTGGTAACTATATTTAAATAATTAGTCAATAAGTGATGAAACAGGTAGGCTATTGATTGGGTTTAGTGTTTTAAATTAGACTGCATTAGCTGATATTAGCTAAGGTAACATTAACAGCAGTACTCACCATAGGGCTGTTTGACAGATCCGATAGTTTTCTAGGCTAACTAGCACCATATGTTACTCCATTACTTGACATCAGTGTGCTATGTAGACCAGCACTGCATTGCTGATGCTGGTTAATTCATCAGCTATGTAAAACGCACCGATTTGCTCCACTTATCACTCGCCTGCTGCAACTGGTCACTGAGTCGTACACGCTGCGTTTTCTCGGTACGTGTCACTTCGGTACGGACACACCCACACAATTACAGTGGTCACTCTGTTAAAACGTGTCAGTGTTTACTTGTCACGCTAAAGTCACATGCCCTACAAAGGCACTCGTCGAATTGTTGTGAACCATTCTTTAATTCAGCATCCACAGAACCCATCAAGAACAAGATGATTTGATAAATGTGTGACTTTTGTATTTATAGTTTTCCATTACTCATCCGTGGAGTGTTTCGCATAAAGAATGTGCACACAACACAAAAAAATTCAATGAAAATGTTGGTTAAAGGAGCTTGTACACAAGTGAATTTAACTTACTGTGTAACTAGCCTGTGATTCACGGAAGCACGGCTATGTTGAACTGTCTTTTTGTTTTTATTAAGTATGGCCGTTACGCTACTTCATCTTCAAGCAATAGCACGGAGCAGTAGGAAAAAAAACAGCCGTGTGACTCTAATATTAAACAAGTCTCAGTCACGTGGCAAACAAACCCGAGTAACATACTAACT